TACAATAAAGCTCTACCAAAGATTACAAAGACTCACCCTTTATATAGGGTCAAACATCTTAGACAAAGTCAAAGTCAAATTGCCTATGAAAAGTCAAACACGGTGACTTTTATACAATTATAGACAAAATTAACTTTCAAGACGAATACAATTTATCACTGATTTTCAGTCCTAACACTCTTATAGGACAACAAGTGTCCGGATACAACTCTCAACGGTCAACACAATGTCCGGACTTACCCTTATTGGAAAACAGTATCCGGACATACTCAGCCGAAAACTCCTATCTAGACAACACATAACACCCAAAACCTCTCATCGGTTAAAGCTTTGGCCGATAAGGACCCTTCTCGGAAGGTACTTGTCCGGATAGCCTTTACCGGTCAATAAAGATCAACAAAAACCTAGATACAACATATTCGAAATATACATCATCATTTCAAAGTTACAAAACCAGTAATCGAACCATATTCAAAGGTTGTTTTTAATAAACACTCACCTCAGACTTTGAATTTGATAGAAGAAAACTTTGATACTTTGAATCTGCTTTAGGTTCCAAAAATTCACTTTTCAAAGTTTTAGCAAGCAAATCCCACAGAAAACTCTCTCAATTTTATTCCAAAAATGGCAAGAAGCTTGCCCTCTTCCCAACACTTCCCTTTTATACCTTCCTTAAAAAGAAGGTGGTCATAGAAAGAATTATAAAGATTCTTTTCCTGAACACCCCAACACCCATGCATAGAATATGCATGGACACACATCCATACTCACAATCTCATATGTATGCACATATATAAAAAAAACTACATACATTTCCATGCATACATACATAATCATATTTTTCCATGCATGAGAATATACACACTTACATATAATCTCATGTAAGCATGTTTCCACATGACCCATTATAACAATTAGTCAGATATTCATGTGATCATGTAATCAAGTAATCACATAACAATTATCTCAGGTGATAACCAGAACCATGTTATCACATTATCCACCTCTCAAAAGAATTTCGTCCCAGAATTCATTCAATCAAATAACCACGGATATTCGGTTCTCATTTCGGATTCCAACTCCCAAGTTACCTCTGAACCTTTGTGAAAATGCCACTGAACGTTTACCAGATTGATTTTCTTGTTTCGCAGTACTTTGGTTTTCCGATCAGTTATAGCTTCTTGTGTGTCTACAAAGTTCAATTTACTTTCTACTCTTACTTTTGGTAATGGCACTGCCAGGCTCGGATCCGCCAAATACTTCTTTAGATTGATGCATCACTGTAGACCATGAAATCTTCTAATCCCTTTGGCAAAGACAAAACCGGAGCGCTGCAAAGACGATAGTTTAACAATTGGAAAGCTATTTGTTGATCTTATTCCTACTGAAACTTAATATTTTTCCGAGTCAACTTTGTCAACGGTACTGCATATTTAGAGAAATCCTGAATAAATTTGCGGTAGTAACCTGCTAATCCCAGAAAACTACGGACTTCAGAATGAGTTTTCGGTGCATCCCATTTCTCTACCGCTTCAATCTTAGCAGGATCAACTTTCACTCCTGCTTCAGATATGACATGACCAGAAAATGTACTTCTCTTAACCAGAACTCACATTTGGAAAATTTTGCATACAACTTTTCTTTCTTTAAAAGTTCAAGAATCCGACAAAGGTGTTCAACATGCTCTTCTTCAGATTTCGAGTTGAATATCGTTGATAAACACAATAACGAAGTTATGAAGATATTCACTACATACTTGGTTCATCAGATTTATGAAAGCTGCAGGAGCATTGGTTAAACCAAAAGGCATAACCAAAAACTCATGATTCCCATATTGAGTTTGGAAAGCAGTCTTAGCAACATCTTCTTCTCTGACTTTTAACTGATGGTATCTCGACCGCAAATCGATTTTTTGAAAAGTAATTGGCTCCCGCTAGTTGATCAAATAAATCATCGATTCTTGGTAGATGATACTTATTTTCTTAATTGTTAGCTTGTTCAATTCCCAATAATCAATACACATCTGCATTGATCCATCCTTCTTCTTGACAAACAGAACTGGAGCACCCCAAGATGAAATACTTGGTCTTATAAAACCTTTGTCAAGAAGATCCTTCAACTGAGTAACCAACTATTTCAATTCTGATGGCGCTAATCGATACGGTGCTCTAGCCACTGGTGCTGCCCTGGGTACCAGATCAATTTTGAACTCGATAGATCTATCAGGCGGTAGACCGGTCAAATCTTCCAAAAAGACTTCTGGATAGTCACAGACAACCGGAATTGACTCTTGATTGCCTTTTTCTTTCTTTGAATCTATCACAGAAGCTAGATAACCCTGACATCTTTTCTCAATACATTTTCGGGCTTTCAACACTGATAACAAGTTGGTATGGTGATCCTGCTGATCACCATAAATAACAATTGGTCTTTTCTCCGGCAAATCAATAATGATAATTTTCTTTGTATACAAAATACTGGCCCGATTTTCTGCTAACCAATCAATTCCCACTACAACGTCGAATTCTTTCATCGGCATAGGAAATAATTGGATCGACAGCCCACACCCTTCAATTTCAATTATACAATCAATAAACAGATAGATAATAGACACACAACTATTAGCGGTATCAACCACTAATGTATGATTAAGGGGCATAGAATTTATGTATGCACAATTAGCAAATGATGGTGATATGAAAGAAAAGTTCACACCAGAATCAGATAGCACTTTAGCATATACGGAATTTACAAGAAAAAGTACCTGTTACCACATTTGGTGTTGTTTCGGCCTTACTTTTTGTCATCTGAAATGATCGGCCCCGCACCCCACTCTGTCCTCCCCTCAGTGCACTAGGCCTGCCACGATTACTTGAGGTATTTCCTCCCATGGTTAATCGGGGAACTCTCAACTATGGACAGTTTGGTCGAATATGATCGGGCGAATTGCACTGAAAACATCTTTTAGGTATTGTGCAATCCATCGATAGATGAATTGACTCACTACACCGATAACATCTCTTCAGATCAGGTTGACAATTTTCTTGATGCACCTGTTGACATCGCGAACACGTTTTAACAGTTGGTTGTTGAGGAGGTCAGTTATCCGTTTTTATGAATTTGGGTCTTCAGAAATTGGTTGAAGATCCCTCCCACCTTCGTTTATCTACTACTTTTTCTTCACCCTACCAGTTCTTGTTTCTCTTCGTTACCTCGGCATCATTCACAGCTAGATAAAAGGTAGCATGATCCATTGCAATTACAAATTCCCTAATAGAGGGTTTCAAACCCCAAATGTACCTTTCTACCTTTATGGATTCAGAGGAAACATAATGTTCTACAACTCGGGAATATTCTATAAACTTTCTGTATACTCCCACACAAATTTGTAACCTTGCTTCAACTTCAAAAAATCTTATTCCATTTCCCTCACTGCAGTATTAGGACAAAATTGATTTTTAAATCTGATCACAAACTCCTCCCAAAACATAGTTTGCATAATATTTGGCTGAGTCGCTGATTTCACATCCCACCAATATAAAGCGTTAGATTTTAACATAGAGACTGCAAATCTAACCTTATCCTCCTCAGAACACCTACTGGTGTTATACACCGATTCAATTTCCTTTATCCAGCACATTGCCTTTACTGGATCTCTTTCTCTTGAAAATGTTGGGGGTTTACATGTTAGAAACATTTTTTATGTCCCCCCTCTATTACTGCTTGCTGATGAAGCTGGAGAATTCATTCCAACTCGTTCAGTTTCCACTCTGGCTGGTAATCCCATGATAGATACCAGAATTTCTCTTAGTTTACCCATTTATTTAACCAAAACATCCCTGGTTATATATTATGGTTGAGACCTATGCTCTTGATTGATATTTCCCGAAATGGATTCCCCTTAATTGGGATGAACCTTCGTTTGACTTCTTCCTTGAACCTGACTCCTCCCTTGGCCTCTACCCCGGGTTCTTCCCCTGCCTCGACTCTCAGAAATATTAGTTGGAGCATTACCGGAAGATTCTTCTCTTTCTTCGGGATTGGGGCGAACAATACTTTCAGATCTTCTAGATCGACTGGACATCTATAGATATTTTAATATTAAATATCATGTGTTCACATTTCCAAATATAATAAGGTGTCCGAGTATAGATATGTACCTGTAAATTCATAATTACATTGGCCATTTGTAATTAGAATTTCCCTTACATACTACCCTCTTTAACCTATTATATTTATTCGCAGTGATACTATCTATTTCCGGGACCCCTTAATATGCAAATAACAGTTTAAGTCTAGACATCATGCTTTGAATACCTAAATCCCTTAAACTCAGGCTCTGATACCACCTTCTGTAACACCCCTTACTCCATATTTACATATAACATATATATTTCATATAAAAGAAATATAGATTACACCATATAGGTCCCACTAGTACAAGGGTTCAATATGTACAAAATTTACATATGAAAAATTCCAAAAGAATATCCTTACACTATCACATGTATAGCAACATGTATCTTCAAAATATACAGAAAACAGACTGATCTTAAAAAAGATAGATAATACATAAGAAAAATAATTATATTATCCCCTTCCCTTTAATATCTCGATACCCCAAAGTTCCTGCAATGCACATTTTCAAAATACAAAAATGAGGGTTAGACCGGGAGGTCTAATGAGGAAATCCCTTTTTTGCAAATGCAGGGTGAAGATCACCAAAATCTAGTAAACCATATTTTCTATAAAGATAAATATATTTTAGCAACGACATGATATATGTTTGTTAGCCAAAATATATAAATCAATAGATTGCTTCACATACAACACATATGGAATTCCTCGAAACTCAGAATCCCTTTATAGAATTACCCTAAAGTCTTCTGGCACAACGAACCAGAGCTCCTCTGCCCTTGATAACCAGAGCCTCTGGCTCTACTGACGAGAGCCTCTACATTCAAACGAAACAACACTCAACCAGAGACCCTTTGGATTAACAGAGTCTCTGGTCCAGAAAGGACGTACCTTAGCTTTAAAAGACAAATAAGCTAGAATCAGAGCTCCTCTAGTTCTTTGCTCTGTTTATTTATATTTTTGGAGTAAAGATTTAGTTTTAAAAGACAGAACTCTGATACATAGTTCAAACACAAACAGAGCTTCTATATAATACATACAGAACTTTTGGTTCATAAACTTCCCAAAACATTTTAAAGTCTTTCCATATGACTAGAGGACCTCTGGTCCTTCTAAAAGACCAACCAGAGCCTCTCTACATCATTTTCATACTTGTTCAAACTTGATAGGAATCATTTAGAAATCATAGGCAATTAATGCCTCTGGTTATAAATCGTTTTTCCCATTCTCAATAACATCAAAGTAATTATTTCTAAAGAGAACAATACCTTCAAATCATCAGGTCACAAAGAAATGATGATTTAGAATTATTGTATCTGATAGTGATAATAACAAGAGTTATAATATTAACCACACCAGAAATTTCCACCCTTATATCCATAGGTACACCTCTCCTTGATATGTCACCCTTATTTCTTCTTTAAAACGGGGTTCCATACCAGAACAGACTTACGTCACCACGTCTACCCAATACCCAGTTCCAAGCCAAAACAGACATATATCACCACGTTCGGGGGAACTATTTAAAACAAAGTTTCAAACCAGAACAGACTTATGTCACCACGTCTAAAAGAAACATTTAATATCTTTTCCAATTTATCAAAAAGATATAAAATACTCTTTTAACAATACAACAGATTAAGCAGATATTGTGAAATCCCATCTTTACATAAATCAAAGTTTAGTTATATCTTATTCACCGATCAATTATGTACGGACAACTCTGTCTGGACAAGCTTATCCGGACAACCTTAGTCGGACACCCCTATCCGGACAACATATAAAATACTCTTTGGGCTATGAACAACTGTCCAGACGTCACTCAACCGGATACACTCTTATCAGACAACAAGTGTCCAGATAGAACTCTCAACGGTCAACACAGTGTCCGAACGTACCCTATTGGAAAACAGTGTTCGGACATACTCAGCCGAACACTCCTATCTAGACAACACATAACACCCAAAACCTCTCATCGGTTAAAGCTTTGGCCGGTAAGGACCCTTCTTGGACAGTACTTGTCTAGATAGCCTTTACCGGTCAATGAAGATCAACAAAAACCAAATACAGCATATTCGAAATATACATCATCATTTTAAAGTTATAAAACTAGTAATCAAACCGTATTCAAAGGCGGTTTTTAAAAACACTCACCTCAGACTTTGAATTTGATAGAAGAAAACTTTGATACTTTTAATCTGCTTTAGATTCCAGAAATTCTTTCCAAAATTTTAGCAAGCAAATCCCACATAAAATTCTCTCAATTTCATTCCAAAAATGGCAAGAAGCTTGCCCTCCTCCTAACACTTCCCTTTTATACCTTCCTTAAAAAGAAGGTGGTCATAGAAAGAATTATAAAAATTCTTTTCCTGAACACCCTAACACCCATGCATAAAATATGCATGGATACACATGTACACTCAAAATCTCATATGTATGCACATATATAAAAAAACTACATACATTTCCATTACATACTTAATCATATTTTTCCATGCATGAGAATATACACACTTACATATAATCTCATGTAAGCATGTTTCCACATGACCTATTATAACACTTAGTCAGATATTCATGTGATCATGTAATCAAGTAATCACATAACAATTATCTTAGGTGATAACAAGGACCGTGTTATCACATTATCCACCCCTCAAAAGAATTCCGTCTTGGAATTCATTCAATCTAATAACCACAGATATTCGATTCTCATTTTGGATTCCAACTCCCAGGTTGCCTCAGAACCTTTGTGAAAATGCCACTGAACTTTTACCAAATTGATTTCTTCCTTGTTCCATGGTACTTTGGTTTTCCGATCAGTTATAGCTTCTTGTGTTTCTACAAAGTTCAGTTTACGGTCTAGTCTTACTTCTGGTAGTGGCACTGCCAGACTCGGATCCGCCAAACACTTCCGTAGATTGGACATATGGAAAGTGTTATGGATCAAACTAAGCTCTTCTGGTAACTCTAACTGATATGCAACCATTCTGACTCACCTATAGATTATGAATGGCCCGATATATCTTGGACTTAGCTTACCTGTTTTACCGAATCTGACTACCCCTTTTCATGGAGAGACTTTTAGCATCACATAATCTCCCACAAAGAATTCAATTGTCTTACGGCGTCTGTCAACATAGTTCTTCTGATGGTCCTAGTTGTTTTAATTTTCTCTCTGGTCTGCTCAATTTTCTCAGAAGTGACTTGAACAATTTTTGGCCTTGTTAACCGTCTTTCACCCACTTCGTTCCAACATAATGGCATTCTGCACTTACGACTACACAAAACTTCATACGGTGCCGCTTGGATGCTGGAGTGATAGTTGTTGTTATAGGCAAATTCAATTAACGACATATGATCTTCCCACGATCCTCCGAAGTTTATAACACAAGCCCTGTGATAACTGGATCCTGGTTATTACCCAAGGTAATTAATGTGTGATTATTTGATTAAATGATTTCGTGATAGCATGATAAATTGTTATATTTGATCATGCTGGTATGTGAAAATGTTCATAATATGAAATGCATATGTTATATATATATATATATATACATAATATAAGTATGCATGCATGTGTGTGTGCATGTGTGCATAAGTGTATATATAGTATGAATAAGAAAAAGGGGCTGTTAACCGACTTCCCTGATTTGGAAAGTATAAAAGGGAGGTTGAGCCTCCATATTTTCTCTTCTTGCTTTGGCAAGGTTGTGCGATTTAAAAAGAGAAGAGAGTTGACCGGATTATTCTT